GATGGCCAGTCTCAAGGACTGGCTGATTGTTAATCTTTCTAATGAAGAACAGGTCCCCAGGAAGAAGACCATAGTTGTCAGGGTTGGTGCTGTTGGCATGGCCTGTGCCATCAGGATCTTAATGAAGGACTTGGAAGGTGAACATGCTCTTGTTGACATCATGGAAGACGAATTGAAGGGTGAGATGACAGGTGTCTAGCACAGCAGCATTTTCCTTAGAACACCAAAAGTTATCTCTGGCAAAGACTATCATGTAACCAAAAACTCCATGCTTGTTATTATCACAGCTGGGGCACATTAGCAAGAAGGAATAAGCCATCTTAATTAGGCCTAACATAATATGAATGTCTTTAAGCTCATCATTCCTAATGTTGTAAAGTACAGACCAAATTGCAAGTTGCTAATTGTTTTCAATTCAGTGGATCTCTTGACCTATGTGGCTTGGAAGAAAAGTGTATTTACCAAAAATTGTTATTGCAAGTGGTTACAATCTGAATTCAGCCTGGTTCCACTACCTAGTGCAAAAAGGCTGGAAGTTCACCCACCAAGCTGCTGTGGATGGAACCTCTAGGAGCATGGAGAGTCCACTGTGCCTGTGTGGAGTGGAGTGAATGCTGCTGAAGTGAATGTCTGGAGTGCTGGAGTGAATGTCTCCCTGAAGAATCTGCTCTGAGTTCAGCACTGATGGTGATAAAGAGAAAAGAGCTTTGGAAAGAGCTTCACAAACAGGTGCTTGGCAGTGCTTATAAAGTGATCAAACTAAAAGGCCACACATGCTGGGCCACTGGACTGTCTCTGTGCAATGGATCTGGCAGGAAGTATAATGAAGGAACTTAGGAAGGTGCATCCAATTTCTACCATGACTAAGAGACTATGAAATGAAGGATGGTGTCTTAGTGTGCTTATGTCTTGGAGCAAAGTGGGATCTCAGATGTTGTGAAGGTGACTAATTTCTGAGGAAGAGGTCCATTTGAAGAAGAGGATGGATCCCTTGTGCAAGATGTGGGAGGAGCTGTAGTTTTAAACCCTTCCAGGGTCACATGTCTCTACATGTCTTACTGGAAGGTTGTGCTAGTTATCCTTTTTTTTTGATGTGTGGTTGAAGCAGTAGTATTAAAATAGCCTGAGGAACAACATCCATTTCCAATAGTTAGAAATAGAAATGGTTCACAAAACCCCACGTTCTTTCTTGACACTGGATGGTACTCCATGTCTGCAGTCCTAAACTGATTAGTGTAAAGTAGCCTGCCATCTCTGGGATACCAGGGCCAATGTTGCACAGGCTTCAGTCCTTGAAACAATGTGTGTGTAACTCTGTTATTTACCTCTACCAGCCAATCCTGGTCTGGTTGGTTACAGTCCAGGATCTAGTGTGCAAATCCATAATTTCATGTCTTGCACACAACTGCTTAAAAGGGTTTTTTGTGTATTATATATCAAGAGTGTATATTGCCATATAATGTAAAAAGGAAAGCTATCCCTGTGAACAGTATAACCAAGTGTCATATCAACTGCACCAAGTAAACTTTTTTTTTAAATTTTTTTTAACATTTATTTATTGTGTGTGTGTGTGTGTGTGTGTGTGTGTGTGTATGTGGCCAGCTCAGCCCACCAGGGGGCGGGGCTGGCTGGCATGTGGTGCTGGGGGATTGAACCGCGGTCCCTGTGCTTTGCCAAGCTTGTTCCAAGTAGGTGCTTTAGACCACTGAGCCATCTCTCCAGCCCACCAAGTAAACTTTGAAGAGTGATAATTCTATTAAGTAAATAAATAAATAAGGCAGAACCAAGTAGCTATGGAAATCCTGTTATCTCTATATTAATACCACAAACTCCATTTTTAGCCATTTGTCTGTAGGAGACCAATATAAGTAGTTATTCCTATCCCACAAACACATACTCTTATTGGTTTAATTCACTATATTAATGTTAAATCCATTCTTTCCTATTAAATTCTTCAGATGCTTTAATGCAGCTCTGAGTATTATAAATTTCCATGAAGGGAAGAAAGTGGCAGGTTACAATATATTTGATGCACCTGGTCCAGGAACTTTTGGGAGAGCCAGCTCTTACCACTCCTAAGGGACTGGGATCCTCACCTGATCGTGGCCGGTGATCGCCGCCCGTCCTCTTGTTACCCTCCCACATCAGCTCTATATTGATAGTACATCTGGATTCTAGTATCAACATTCCCATAAGAGAAGTAATTGTATTTTTTCACTAAAAAACTGGTTGCACACTAACTCTGCACTGAAATCCTCTTGACCATGTAGAGAAGCCTGTCCTTTTCAAAGCCTTTTATCTGTAAAATTCAAGTTGTCACTTTTCTAAGTAGCTCTTGTTGAAGGTAACTGTGCAAGAAGCAATTCATTCCTTCAAAAAGAACAATGCCCCTCTTAAGCTCTAAGCCTTTTTCAGAAAGATTAGCAGACACTTCCATAAGAAACTTTCTTTTCGTGGATGCTTAAATACTAAAACTCAACACCAGAAGACAAAGCCACATTCTTCGCTGAACCTCCACTTCTCTAGGTGACACTGACTCTGGTTCTATTTCCTCTAATGAGAACAAATGTGGATGAAGAAAGGCACAACTAAGCTAGCTGCTCCAGTGAAGCTTGCTAGGATGGGTAACATAATATGAGCTCTTCACTATAAGGAAGGAGACAGGATAAGATAGGCAAGGCAAGGGTAAAGTCTACAAGTGCAGGAGTAGTTAGTTTCCTTCTGATTTTGTCCCATCCTTATTTGTGCATGGCAAGCAGAGCAGTGCTTTTGACCTTCATAGTAGATGAAAGGGTCTGTAGGAACATCTAGGTCCTGGTCCTATCCATACCATGTGTCAGACATATGACCTTAGGCAAAGTCTCATAACGCTAGGAAAAAATTTCATTATCTAAAGATGCCACCCTATGGGTCTGGGGTGGTAGTTCAGTGGTCTAAGCACCTGCCTGGCAAGCACAAGAACCTGGGTTTGATCACCAGTGCTGCATGCTGTGCAGCCACAGAGCCTCTGGAGCTGCAGGGTGCACCATTCCAGTCTCCAAAACTGGGCGTGTTGGTGCACGCCTGTAATCCCATTGCTGGGGCAGCTGAGACAGGAGGATCCCTATGAGTCCAAGATGTGTAATGAGACCCTGTACCAAATAAATAAAATATTTATTAAATTTTTTTAAATGTCAGGATGAATTCTGAGTATATTTGTGAAATTAGATGGATCCATGGAGAGGTTTTGTATGCTATACAGTGCTTTCCAGGAGTGGTTTCAGAGAATGGCGAGAAGTCCAGTGGTTTGTGAGGATGAGTGTGCCAAGTTACACAGCCTTTTCTGGCATGTCCATAACTTTGTGGATGGGCAGAGCCCGACCCCGTCAGGACTTAGAGCAGGCCTTCCCTTGGCAAAGACTTGGTGGGATCATCCTGCCCTTATGCCCTGAGTCCTCCTGAGAATCTGGAAGTGTTGGATCCTCTGCATATATTAGCGCTTTCCATGGCCAAAATCACAGGTACTCAGGGGTTCCAGGGCTATGAGCAGGACCAATATGCATGTACCTTCATCACCATTTGTATGTCTTCTGACTATTCTGTGACTGCTGTACTGGTCATGATTCGAATACACAGCCTAAGTGGGACTGTTGCTGCCACCTTCAGACAGGTCTATGAAAGAAGCATACTCTCCTTGAATGCTGAAGCCCTGTCACTGTTGAAGGAGAAAGAGCCATGAATCTAATAGTGAGGACTTTATGTGTCCTGGACTCATTGAAAGTTGACTAGTAAGAAGGTGTGGGACACCCTAACCCTCAGCTGGAAAGCTGCCTCTATGCTTGCTGTTTAGTCTTATTTATAGAGAAAAGCAGAGAAATCCCTTTCAAACTTAGCATTGCTCGATGCCAAGGGCATTCTTTGAAAACACCAAGCATAATGGGCATCCCTGCATTCAGCCTCTTGGGCTCTGGGGTGGAGGGCCATTTGCAGGCATGTTAGGTTCATTTTTTTCCTATATATAAGTAATGAAGGGATGCTGAGAGTTAGAACCGGGCAGAATCTCCAGGCACCACGAGTCTTAACTCCCTGAGTGGAAAAGGGCAAGAGTTGTAAATGAGACTGATTGCCAGCTGTCGAGTTAGGTGTGTGCTGCAGCCTAGTGGTGCCGGACAGTGTTAGCACGAGGAGTGCCACTTGAAGGCCACTGTGCAGGAACGGGCAGCCTCGTGTGCCACACCCTGGATGTGAAGCGAGAAATCACAAACAGTGTCCTTTTACAAACTTGTTTCTCCTTGCCTGTGCGACTGCTACTGCTAGGTGACCCCCTCCCCCTCAGCCTTATAATTAAAATTATCATTTTAGAAACGTATTTATTTATTGTTGTAAATAGCTAAGGAGGAGGGGAGAGTCCTGAATTTGGCACCCAGAGACCTGAGCTCCTCGTGTTCATAAACAGCCTGCACTTCACTTGCGCTTTCTATAAAATAGAAATAAACTTCCATCTTGCCCATTATGGGTTATGAAGGTGTTTTAGATAGCACTTTGTATGCATCACACTCAAAATAGAGGGGAGCTCGGAGCTGGGCCACGAAGGAGAGACTGTGCAGGACTCGTTATTATGGCCAAAACTACCTTGCTAATTGGAACATGGAGCCATTCTCCTCCAGGAAGTAAGTGTGTGTGTGTGTGTGTGTGTGTGTGTGTGTGTGTGTGTGTGTGTGTGTAAGATAAACATCCATGTAAGCATAGTTTCTGTTCTTGGTGTGAGAGACTAAGAATTCTGAATAATTCAAGGAAAACTTGTTTTGAGGGTTCTTTGCCCTCTGTCTCTGTTGCTTGAGATGCTGAGGGAACCATACATCCCTTATGTGTTTATATAAATAATCACAATAGGGAAAGAAAAAACAGCACAGGTACACGTGCATGCGCACGTGTGTCCACACACACACACACACACACACACACTACTTACACAGTGGTTCCAGAGTGACTGATGCACCTTCTTACCCCTTTCCTGCCAGGTCGGTGGCCACACAATGCTGCCCATCCGCTGGATGCCTCCGGAGAGCATCATGTATAGGAAATTCACCACGGAGAGTGACGTCTGGAGCCTGGGCGTTGTGTTGTGGGAGATTTTCACCTATGGCAAGCAGCCTTGGTACCAACTATCAAACAATGAGGTATGCAGTTGGATTGGGGAAGAGCCAAAGCCCAAACTGGAGCCACAGAGACCTCTGCCCACTGGAGACTGACTCTGGGCTGATCAAGGCATGATCTTGTGCAGCCTTGTAGAGCTCAGATACATACTTTCCCAAGAGTGCCCTGTGTGCCTGCAAGCCTACAGTGCACCCAAAGCTATAACTGAAGTGCACTCACTACTCATCACTACATTAGTAATTTCAGAGAAGGGTAAAACCAATGGCACAGTCAATGAAATGGAAGAATCATTTGCACTGTTCTTCTAATAAATTTAAAACACATAGTGAGTACCAGCACTCTTAGAGTCCAGGGAGATATTTCTTGTTCTCCCAGTGAACTTTCAAAACCCCCTTTGTACATTTCTCTAGAACATTATAGTGAAAACATCGAGTATTGTGTGTTCTTCCATCCTTTGCAAGTATGCATACCCCATGATGTCCGTGATGGAATCATTTCAGATGTCCCAAACATCAAAATGTAGAACATTCAAATCTCTTATAGAGAATGGTACAGTATCTGCCTATAATCTATGCATACTTTCCTGTCTACTTTCAAACATCTCCAGATTACTTATAACGGCTATATAAACAAGTGTAATATAAGGAGTCTGTGCACTGTATTAGGGAATAATGACAAGAAAAAGTCTGTGTATGATCCATACAGGTGCAGTTATTTTCTGAGCATTCTTGATGTGCAGTTGGTTGAATCCACACAGATGGAGCCCAAAAGTGTGGGGAACGGACTCTAGGTCTATCTTTGAGACACTATGCCTTGGACAGGCATCTCACATCCTTTTCAGATATGGGTCTGTCTGTTTAATCCAATTCCATTATGAGAAATGCCTGCCCGTTTCTGTAGCCTGCGGTTCCCCACCAACCAGTATCTTAACACACAAATGGCTCAGGCCAGTAAAAACTAATACATAGGACTGTTGGTCAGAGGCACAGGGCAATTCTACATAAACAAATTATCTCTACACCTGTTCTGGGACATCAGAGTGCACTGAGAAGTGGATATAAGCCAATCAAAGTAACCATGGTGTAAACCAACCCATAATAATTATTTTCTTCTTCTGAGAGAAATAAACCACAAGTGGACTTGTTTTTCAAAAGCTCGCTTTTCCTAGAGGTTAGAAAGCATCAGGGAGGGAACAGGCATTAGTGGGTGACAGGGACCACAGCACAGCCACACCGGCAGTGTCCTAGTGCTTCGCACAGAACAGCAGGGTGACTACAGTTCACAACAATTGTGTACTCCATGGAGAACTGTTGGTTTACAAAATGACAACCAACCATCCCCAAGGAGGAGCTAATATAGACATGCATGGAGGAATATAGAGCCATTAATAATAAGGGTATAATTTCATGAACTAGATGAGAGTTGTTGGAAGGCTCTCAACACAAAGTAGTGATAAATATTGAGGTAGATGGAAATGGTAATTACTCTGAATTGATCACTACCATTTTGTATATGTATCAAATTATCATGCCACACCTGGCAAATAAGTGCACTTACTATAGGTGATTTTAAAGGGAAAAGGCTCCTGCCTTTGGGCACAGTGCTCACTGGCCGGGCCTGCTGTCCCTCCTGTCTGACCCTTCTCTACTTCCCTAGGTGATCGAGTGCATCACACAGGGCCGAGTCCTTCAGCGACCCCGCACATGCCCCCAGGAGGTGTACGAGCTAATGCTGGGGTGCTGGCAGCGGGAGCCCCACATGAGGAAGAACATCAAGGGCATCCACACCCTCCTTCAGAACTTGGCCAAGGCATCTCCCGTCTACCTGGACATTCTCGGCTAGGGCCCTCTCCCCAGACCTCCCTTCCCAACACACTCCTCAGATGTGTGAGAGGATGAACATCTTTTCCTGCCGCTGGCTGCCATGAGGCTGCCGCGTGGACGGGCAGCTCTGGTGATGTTGACGAGACCCCGCGACGTTCTCAGACTGAAGCAGCGTGGACTTCTCCGCCCACAGATGCAGTACTGACTTCCTTCTGGCATTGTCTCTTTCTCTCTTCCCATCTTCCCGGTTTGTTCTTTTCTTTCTCTTCTCTGTTTTTCTCTTTTCTGTTTGTTTGGTTTTAGTTCTCCTGCTTTATAGTCCTTCCTTCCCCTTTTTAATCAATCTGGCTTCTGCATTACTATTAACTCTGCATAGACAAAGGCCTTAACAAACCTAATTTGTTATATCAGCAGACACTCCAGTTTGCCCACCACAACTAACAATGCCTTGTTGTATTCCTGCCTTTGACGTGGATGAAAAAAGGGAAACAAATATTTGACTTAAACTTTTGTCATTTCTGCTGTACAGACATCGAGAGTTTGTATGGATTCACTTCTATTTATTTATTTATTTATTATTGTTATTACTCTCATTGTTTTTGGATGGCCTAAGCCTGTGTGGCTTAAGAAATACTTGTGTTCAATCTTGGAAAACTTTATCTGTGGGAAATTAAACCAGAGAGAAAGAAGATTTATTATAAACTTCAGGAGAAATGGGAGAAGCAAAGGCAACCATTGAGATCAGCTGGCGTCAGTACCTACTTAGGACAAACCCGGCAGCTGTCAGCTGAGGAATGCATCTGGAACCTTCCCCTGGACCTTCTGAGGAGTACACAGGCTGGCGGACTCTGTGCCATGGACTTTTCCTCTCCCATCTCCAGACACACTAGAGTGCAGCAGAGATAAAACATGATTTCTTGGGGCACAGGACAATGTATCATGTGCTCAGACTCAGTCTTGTCTTGGTTGCCATGGTGACAGCTCTGGGTCTTTTTCAAGTATTATGGACCAAGCCTTTGTCAAGTCCAGTTGAAAGACGTATATTCTGATCCAGAGATCATTTCAGGGTCAGGTGAGAAATCAAGGACTTGGAAAAATAGGACAAGCTCTCAATTTGGAGCCAAGGTTCTCTTACGTTGAACTTTTCAGACAGCAAGCACCTCCTTCTGACCCCTACCCTCCATTCCCACCTGTCCTTTTAACTGTGCAAGCAAAATTGTGCATGGTCTTCGTCGATTAATACCCTATGTGCAGACTAACACTTGAGATGTCATGACCCTGATAGGTAGAGCAGATCCATAAAAGGTATAATTTGTATGATTAACAATGCTAATGGGCATTCATTAGCTGAGAATAAATGTCTTGGCATGGTACAGTTGGTGGCGATGGGTTTTACTGAATATGGACCCTGAACCCTGGATGTCTTCATTCACATGGAACCCCAGGACTCTGGGACTGGCAGAATCCATCCCTGAAGGAAGGAAAACCTCGCTGAGCATATCACATGCATTCATGTTCAGTGTACACAGGCCAAGTCTCTTGCTCTAGGCTCTGGTTGGGAGAGTGGTTTCATTCCAAGTGTATTCCATTGTCAATATGCCATTTTGGTTTTTGTTTTACATCATTAAACAAGAGAAAAAAGAAAACTTAAATATTGGCACAAGATGCCATGGGAGGCTGTGCCCTGACTGAGCATTGGAAGTGTGCTGTGGGGCATGATCATTGGTCTTAAAAAAGAGAGACTAGAATTTTACAGTTATTTAGAGTCAGTCATGCCAAGGGGAAAAGTATTTCCACTCCTAAAGAGAGTGTGCTACCCTCCATGAGGGGAATTTTGCTGGCCCTGACATCTTTGTAGTATGAGCCAGATAGGAAGGGAGTGATCATAATCAATCTTAGGTTATTTCATTTGCTATTTGTTTCTGAAGGTGCAAGAGCTCCATTTAGATTTTGCTTATGCCCATTAGTTACTGGAGCACTTTGTGTTTCTTTATAGGCTATTAAAGCCAGTATTGAAAACTCGAAAGTATAAACTAATAGAGAACAACATGAAATCCAGCAGCATCTGTGGCCAGGTGAAGGGATTAAATAAGACAAACTATACAGTCCCTTTGGACTCTGCACTGCCCCAGTACAGATGGGAGTTGAGGTATTTGTTCTCTTTGCCAGTGGGAAAAAAAAACCCTCCAGAACACACACAATAATATAATGAAAGCCATATCTCCATGATATATGCGTGCATATATATATATATATATATATATATATATATATATATATATAAAGGACCCATAGTACTGTTACAACACTTTGGAGCTCTATGAAACAGTAGGAATGGGCAGATTTGTACAACCTCTTCTAAGTTTCATCACAGATGACCTGAAAACATACACAAGTTTGTGTGTTTGGCCAGCTTCTCTGGGAGAAATAGTTGCCAGTTATTTTTTATTTTAACTAAGAACAAAGGATCACCTTTGTTCTCTAGGATACTTAAAGGTATCTTCTCGTTCAAGGAGGGTGGTTCAGTTTCAGGGCAAAGATTTGTTGAAAGCAGATCAGAAGATAGGAGTGCTTTGTTCCAGTTGTGTTTTCCTCAGAAGGAAAAAAGCAAAAAATGAAAATAATAAAAATTTCCTTATACCTTCTGACAAGTCCCTCAAGGTCTTGAAATGAAAGGTACTATGCAAGTGCAAAGTTTTATAGTTATTTATATTAATTGTTATTTACTACTATCATTAGTCCCTAATGTCGTCTCAAGAGTATGTGCTGACTTTAGAGATGTCTCGCTCTAAAAAAAATCAGCTTGCTTTTAAGAGTTGATATTTTGAGCCACAAAATATCTTGAAATACTTGTTGCTATTCTTCTACCACCTCTTTCTCCATCGTTTCCTAAATTTTAGCAAGGCAGCGTCTTCATTCTACCTGTAACAATCACCAAGGATGGCCTGTCATCAAACACCTTAGCAAATCCAACAATAGCAGTGACAAAGCTGATTTCTCAAGCCCAGTCTGACAGCCACTTCCACTTATCAGTTGTTTTAACTGGTTTTGAAGTGCTTTCCCCCTGTGTTCACAAATTATTCCTATGCTTCATAGGCGAGGAAATCGAGACGCAGAGAGTCAGAGGCAGCCAAAAGTCTCCAGACTGGCTTCTGGCACCAGTAGAGCTTTAGCTACATACCCTGATGATATAAGTCCACAATTTAGCCCACTCAAGACACTGATACACAAACAAGCAGTTCAGGAAAGAAAGTAGGGTAACTAATTCATGAAGTAGGATAGATAGGAAAGTAGAAGAATGAAAGGCAATACTGAAGATGGCAAGCAGCTGAGATACTGTAATGTATAATCATGCTCTTAGCTTCAGCTATATTCTTGTACACTGAATTGGTGTCATAACCAGGCTAATTTAGAAAACACTTTGAAGTATGCTATCAAGAACTATATCATAATTCATATTATACATGTGTTCACATCAGCGCTACCTATGGTATTTTCATGTATTTATATATGTGTTATGTACTTTATTTATACATATACAAATGCACATACATACATAATGTGTTTGTGTGTTTATGTATAAATATATAGGCACACAGTAATATATATAATTATAAGGTGCAGTGTTAATAATTTGCTTAAAACTGCTAAGTAACCAAAACTCATTCATGTCCCATTGCAGTTAGAGCTTCCATTCTCCTTATGGGTAGGACGTCACACTTTTCAACCCTGCAGTACTGCAAGGATGGAAGGCATATGTGAGATGATATGCTTCCTCAGACAACAGAAGAAAAGCCACCCCACTGGGCATTCTTTCTCTGGCTCCTTGCAAAGGAGAATGCAGACTGAAATAGAGCTCATCATGGAAAGGTCCAGGAAAGGAAAATAAATTTTTTTGGTCCTTTTATACATTTGCATTATGTTCGCTTTGTCCCACTGTGACCCTTTACACTTGTGTCTAGAATCGAAGCATTCCAGACACAGACTGGAATGTCAGAGGCCAATAAAGAGAAATTCAAGTGAAAAGGGAGAGAAGCAAGTCTTGAGGAGGTCCTCATCCAGCTTCAAATGTAATCAGTGGTATAAAATACTGTATTTTGCAAAGCCTCGGAGAAGAGGATATCCTGGTCAACAATGGACATTTTTTAAACTTTCCTTTTTGAAAATTGGGCAGCCAACAATTGGACACACAAACAACATTAAATTGTGTCCAATTTTTTTAAATTACTGCATATACACACATTCTCTTGATTCTCTTGATCTCCTATCACTTTTTCTCCCCTGCTTGACAACTTTATTTCCAACATTGACCTTCGGTTTCTCCCTATAATACTTTTAGGGAAGTTGGTTGGGAACCCAGTTTCCTGAATATCCAAATTCATAGCAATGGGATTCTTCACAATGTGTAATTGGGATACAGAGACTCAGGTTGTAATAGCTTGTAAATGAATCGCAAATGTCATTCTAAAGAACTGGAGATGGGAGGATTACAGGTAAAAATCACAGTACAGTAAAGGGTATTTTCTTGTCAGGGCTGGAATGAATCACTGCTGCTCAAGTCAAAGGTTCTTAAAGATATTTAGTTTTTCCATTCTTCCCTCTTTCTTTTCCTTTGACTTCTATTTATTCAACTATGTATTTATTTATTCACATTTCTTCCATTCATCACAAACACAAAGCAAAGCAAAAAACAAACCATATATGTATATATGTTGCAGGCAAAACACTGTGAATCTCAAAATCACAACCAAGCAACTACTCTGCCATCCTAACACATCTCAGGTGACAGCAGGTGACAGATTGGGAAAAGAGGAGAATGTTGATTTTCAGTCTATGCGTTCTAGGCCAGGTCTATTTATTTTATTTATTTGGTCTGTGCATTAATAAAACCCATCTTGAGTGAGAGTTAGCTGAATATTCAACATACTAGAGAAAGCGAAAAGCTGCTAGTAGCCACGTGTTTGAACAGGGAGAGAAACTGGAGACAATGAAACGTAAAGGCCTCTGTAACTTGTAACG